TGATACTGTTCATCTTGAGACTGATGGAATGCAATACAAACAAGAACATGCTGCTTGGAGTTAATGGCCTACAGAAGGAGGAGTGGAGGTCTAGAAAGCAATGAATCCTCTTGGGGAACCACAGGGGGGGGAGGGTGTATGCAATCTCAATAAGCCATGACAGGGTGTGCTCTGACTGTTGGTTGCATGCCTTGAATGAGATATAAGCTGAAGGCTAACTGTCTTCAACCACCCAAGAAATGCACTAACAGCCTGCTAATACATATCTTGAAGAGGCTTATTGCCATTAGTACATGGCTCATTAATTTTACATTTCATTTAAAAAAAAAAAAAAAAAAAAAAAAAACAACAACAAAAAACCCCACCTTTTCCAAACAGTTTTATGATGGTTTTTCACTATGACAAACAGCCTCGATTAAAGTGATGAGCAAATAATAGGGGAAAAAGAAGTAAATACACTTCCCTCCCCCCCCCCCTTACTATTTTTTAACATATTAATCTTTTCTAGCTTTTTCTTTTGCTAAGGCTACTTAGACCCCTCTCTTCTAACCAGTGTTTTTTGCTATGCTTTTACCAGCAATTTGTATAACCAAGATTAATAACCAATTTTAGATCATATTATATATTAAACCATATGATATAAATAAAATGTTGCATTCTGCATTAATTATTGCTTAACATATTACACTGTACTGAATTAAAGTTTCCTGAAACAGCCACAAAGTATAAGTTGTCTGTGAGGCAAAACAGGTATGTTGAAAATAATCGGTTTTTCTTATTCAACTCCTAACTTCCATCTTTACTCTATTCTTTCATGGTGCTTTATATTTAAGAAATGTTAAATAATACCTTGAAGATACTTGGTGCTAAGGAGGACTCAGCCAGTCTTCTGCTATTGAAAATATCAAAGGAGAAAATATTCATTTGACACTGCTTGGAATATTTTCTCTCAGTGCTGCTTTGCATGTGAAGAGACCAGCATCCACTTCTGAACTCTGCTTATCTGCTAAGGGCCCTCCTACAAAGTAACCATTTCTTTATATTTAAAACAAACAAACAAATCTCAAATGAAGGAGCTCAAAGAGCTTTTCAAAGTCAACCAAACAGAGATTTCCTTTCTAGTGAGTAATACTTGCTTTTTAAGCACAAAAATAGAGCCACAAAACAACAACACATCATATTATATTTCACTAATGTGCATGTTTTACAGCACCTTTATATTTATGCCCTTATTTCCCAGTACTATTCTAAGTCTGGAGTTGGGCACCCAGTCACCAATAAAATGTATAAGGAGACCTGGAAACTTTAGACCTTGTCACACATTGTACTTCAAGATGTTCAAATATTTATAGGTGTTAGTGCTAGCTTGAGCTTAGAGCAGTAACAGCTTAAGGTTAAAGACCTTCTCTGACTCCCCGATCTGCAGATCTGCCTCTTACCACTAGAGGGCAGGGTTCAGACTAGGAGCTATAATTGTGAGTTACCACAAGAAAAGTGGTGAGCAAGGACAGGTGTCTATCTCTGTTCTAGGTGGGTGTGTATGAGAGATGAGCTGGGGTGGAGGGGGAGAGGAGGATAGTTAATGGGATGGGTAATGAAGTGGGAGGTGAGAAGAAATGGGGGTGGGGGGGGTAGGTGGTGAAATGAAGGAAGTCCAGCTACTGATAAATAAATGAAAGAAGATGTCACTTTAATAAATTGGGATTTGGGGTGGGGGTTGTGTATTCCCATGTGGCTACAGGCTGGGAGCAGTGAGGGAAGGCACTTCTGGGGGAATCTACTGCCCCTGCCTGGCAAAAGAATCACCAGCTCATGGGGACCTGATTTGACCACTTAACCTGTTCTTACTCCTGTGCCCCACATCCATGTGCTTCAAACTGGCTATCTGGCATGTGCTCTGTAGGCTGTTTGCACAAGAATGCACATCTGGGGTGGGAAGGTCATACCTCTGGGGGTGGGAGGTAGAGTTAGCTTCGTACCAGGCCGCCCCCCCCC